TCAATGATTTACGTGTTGCTGCAGGAGAGAGAGGGAGGTGTGAGGGAGAGGGAGGTGTGGAGGTGAGGTGTGGGGAGGTGAGTGAGGGGAGAGAGGGAGGGTGTGGGGAGGGAGAGGTGGGGAGGAGGGAGGTGTGGGAGATGAGGTGTGGGGAGGTGTGGGGAGGGAGAGTGGTGGGGGGAGGGAGGTGTGGGGAGGGAGAGAGGGAGGTGTGGGGAGGAGAGGTGTGGGGAGGAGAGGGAGGTGTGGGGGAGGAGGTGTGGGGAGGGTGGTGTGGGGAGGAGAGAGGGGTGTGGGGAGGGAGGAGGTGTGGGGAGGAGAGGTGTGGAGAGGGAGGGGAGGTGGGGAGGGAGAGGGGAGGTGTGGGGAGAGAAGGAGGTGTGGGGGAGGAGAGGAGGTGTGGGAGGAGAGAAGTGGATAGGGAGAGGAGGTGTGGGGAGGAGGTGTGGGGAGGAGGAGGGTGTGGGGAGGGGGAGAGGGAGAGGTGTGGGGGAGGGAGTGGAGTGTGGGGGAGGGAGGGGAGGTGTGGGGAGAGAGGAGGGTGTGTGGAGGAGAGGTGTGGGGAGGAGGTGTGGGAGGGGCAGGTGTGGGGAGGAGGAGGAGGGGTAGAGGGGAGGGAGAGAGGGAGGTGTGGGAAGAGGAGGAGGGGGAGGTGTGGGGGAGGGAAAGGAAGAAGGGGTATCTCACCACATGCACCTAATACTCTATGTATCTATCTATCTATCTATTGTTTTAATTGGTATCTTTTGTCAATGGTGCTCATGTTTTTGTTAGTAAAAGCAGATGTGTTTGTTGTATTTGACGTGTAAACCAAAAACTATGATGTGTTTCAGTGTAGTAATATATCCTTCACGTGCGTGTGTGTGTGTGTGTGTGTGTGTGTGTGTGGGGGGTGTGTGTGTGGGGTGTGTGTGTGTGTGTGTGTGTGTGTGTGTGTGGGGGGGGGGTGTGGGGGTGTGGGGGGTGTGGGTGTGTGTGTGTGTGTGGGTGTGTGTGGTGTGTGTGTGTGTGTGTGTGTGTGTGTGGGGTGTGTGTGGGGGGTGTGTGTGTGGGGTGTGTGTGTGTGTGGGTGTGTGTGTGTGTGTGTGTGTGTGTGTGTGATGTGTGTGTGGGGTGTGTGTGTGTGGGGTGTGTGTGTGTGTGTGGGGGGTGTGTGTGTGTGGGTGTGTGGGTGTGTGTGTGGGTGTGTGGGTTTGTGTGTGTGTGTGTGTGTGTGTGGGTGTGTGTGTGTGTGTGTGGGGGTGTGTGTGTGGGGTGTGTGTGTGTGTGGGGTGTGTGTGGGGTGTGTGGGGTGTGTGTGGGTGTGTGTGTGTGGGGTGTGTGGGGGTGTGTGTGTGTGTGTGTGTGTGTGTGTGTGTGGGTTGTGTGTGGTGTGTGTGTGTGTGTGTGTGTGGGTTGTGTGGGGGGGTGTGTGGATTGGGTGGGTGTGTGTGTGGGGGGGTGTGGTGTGTGTGTTGGTGTGTTTAGGGTGGGTGTGTGGGCGGAGTGTATTTGTGGGTGTGTTTGGTGTGTTTTCAGTGTCTCTCTCTCTAACTGCTCAGGAACAGGAGCAGTGCATGGGATGGCTGTGTGATGTGTGGAGTGTGGAAATGGTGTGCAAGGTGCTTGAAACATTTGGGAACAGACATGAAAAAAAATCAAGTAAGTGTGGTAGTGTGGTAGTAGTGGTAGTGAAACAGCAGTGGAGACACACACTGCACGAATGACAAACTAGCTGGTGGTCCTTCAACTCTTGATCTCACTGAAACAAGCACGTCAACTTTCCCCTGATTGGCTACACCATGACGACCAATAACAACCCACAGATAATCCTCCATCCCCCCCCAAACCCCTCAAACGACCAATAAGAACCCGTGATTGGGTGTTCCCTGGCGACCAATGGCGAGGCGAGAATTACAACAACACAACAAACTCAGAGATATGAAATCAAACTTTTTTTTCGGCAAGTGGATCGCTCCGTTTCCTCCTGGTTATGAAAAATTGAAGTGAATACCTCATCAAGATTTCTATTAAAGCATATAATTTTAAGGTTTTAATATGGGGTTGAATGATGTGTGGGGAAAGAAATGGTAGGGCGCTTGGGAAGCTCAGGAAGGACACCGAAGCAGAGACCAATGGTGGTGTATAGAATACAGTGACCACCCTCACGTCTGTATCACCTGCCCTCACCTCTCACCTGTAGGACCATGAGAGGTTCCTTTGGTTACTCACTGTAGGACCATGAGAGGTTCCTTTGGTTACTCACTGTGGGACATGGGAGATCTTTGGTACTTCTCACTGCTGGAACATGAGAGGATCCTTTGATTTACACTGTAGGACATGAGGGGATCCTTTATTACTCTCTGTGGGACCATGAGAGGATCCTTTGGTTACTCACTGCTGCGGGACCATGAGAGGATCCTTTGGTTACTCATCAGGACCATGAGGACTTGGTTACTCACTGTAGGACCATGAGAGACCTGCTGCCTCTCTGAAAACAGAGGATCCTTTGGTTACTCACTGTAGGACCATGAGAGGAGGGAGGGAGGGAGGGACGCACGTTATACAGATACAGGTAAAATTCCTTAACCATACAGTAACACCTGGCATTTATTTCCGAGTAATAATTTGTTGTTTTAGACCTAATAACAGTGTTCATTATCACATGTTATAAACAGACCCTTAAAACCGGAAGAATAAACCAAAATTAAAACAGTTCTTCATCACATAATTAAAACAAAACCACAAAATGTGAAAAATATGATAAAATATATTCCAGTTCGTGTCCCCTTCAATGCCACACATACTTACATATCAGACGCTGCCGAGTGTCCAAGGAAAGTGTTTATATGTCATCATCATCGCCATTATAATTGACGTCATCATTGTCATCGTCACTATCATCATTATTATTTATTAGTAGTAGTAGTAGTCTTATTATTACTATTACTACTACTATGACATGTTGTTTGTGGTGACGAGAATGAGGTGTCGTAGGTAGTCGTAAAATTTAGCAGCAGTGAGTCCTGGTGGTGGTAGAGAGAGAGGATAGTCATGAGATAGTAGTCGTAGTAGGATAGTGGGATGGATGGTGGTTGGAGGTGGTAGTAGTGGGTGGTTGGGAGAGGATAGGGTCGTAGGGGGGTTGGTACTGGGTGGAGGGTCGTGGTGGTGGTGGTAGGGAGAGGATAGGGTCGTAGGGGGGTTGGTACTGGGTGGAGGGTCGTGGTGGTGGTGGTAGGGAGCGGATAGGGTCGTAGGGGGGGTTAGTGATGCCTGGGTGGAGGGTCGTGGTGGTGGTGGTGGTGCCAGGAGGATAAGTCGTGGGGGTTGGTACTTTGGGTGGAGGTCGTGGTGGTGGTGGTAGGGAGAGGATAGGGTCGTAGGGGGTTGGTACTGGGTGGAGGGTCGTGGTGGTGGTGGTAGGGAGAGGATAGGGTCGTAGGGGGGGTTACTGGGTGGAGGGTCGTGGTGGTGGTGGTAGGGAGAGGATAGGGTCGTAGGGGGGGTCGTGGTGGTGGTGGTGGTAGGGAGGGAGGGAGGTCGTCGTCACCAGCTAAAGACAATATTTGTGGCTGGTCAGTCAACAACATATTACCCCAAGCCTTTGTTTACTTCCCTCACCAACACACTTTATTACCAAGCTGCTGTTTTTGCGTCTGTTGGAGGCTTTTTGCGTCTGTTGGAGGATTTTTGCGTCTGTTGGAGGATTTTTGCGTCTGTTGGAGGATTTTTGCGTCTGTTGGAGGATTTTTGCGTCTGTTGGAGGATTTTTGCGTCTGTTGGAGGATTTTTGCGTCTGTTGGAGGTTTTTTGCGTTTGTTGGAGGCTTTTTGCGTCTGTTAGAAGCTTTTTGTGTCTGTTGAAAATGTTCTGCGTCTGTTGGAAGCTTTTTGCGTGTTTTGGAAGCTTTATGCGTCTGTTGTAAGCTTTTGTTTATCTTGTCTGTATGGGGGAGAGGGGTGGGTGAGGAAGGGTGCAGGTGGGGGGTGGGTGGGTGGAACCAGATCCTCATTCTTCAACACTGGCGGTCAGAGTACATCACAAAGGCCTGAGGCTCCCCTCTTACTATAGATGAGTGGAGAAATATCCGTCTCTCACACACACACACACACACACACACACACACACACACACACACACACACACACACTCCTCTAGCATTTTATTTTATAGAGAAAGAATGATTGAGAGGAGAGTGAGGGTGCAGGAAGTAAGTTATCGCTTGGAACTGAAGAAGTTTAGGAGGAGGTAAGAGAGGGCGGGGTGACTAAGGTAATAGTGTGTTAGGGTTGTGTCATGGGTTAGTTATTGTCTGTCGGTACAGGCACTAGACAGTCTACCCTGTGCCATATGTGGGTGTTTTAAGGGCCTTGTTTCATATTCCGCCGACCCTACTGGCGGATGCTGGTCTAATAACACTAACCTGACCTGACCAAACGAAACGAAACCAAACCTAACCTAACCAAACGTAACCTAACCTAACCAAGCTAAACTCAGCTAAACTAAACTTAACGTAACCTAACCAAGCTAAACTCAGCTAAACTAAACTAAACCTAACCAAGCTAAACTCAGCTAAACTAAACCTAACCTAACCTAACCGGGAAACAGGTCTGGTTACAACAATGATGCTTTGAATAGCTTGATCATAGCTCGCCTCACCTGCTCTTTTCTACCCCCCCTCACACACACCCCTCTCCATCCCCTTCCCTACCTCTCATAACCTCCCCACCCCACCTTTTTACCTTCTCTCTTCCTCCCAAATCCCTCTTGCTCTCCCCACCTCCCCATCAACCCTCCCACCCCACCTCCCCACCTCCACCTCCACCTCACCCCTACCTCCCCACCCTCCACCTCCCCACCCCACCCCCCACCTACCCACCCTCCCCACCCCCTCCTCCCAATCACCCCACCTCCTCCTCACCCCACCTCCCCACCTCCACCTCCACCACCCCTCCTCACTCCCACCTCCCACCCCCACCTCTCCACCCACCTCCACCCCTCCTCACTCCTGCCCACCACCTCCACACTCCACTCCACCCTCCTCACCCCCTCACCCCCTCCCCACCTCCCTCCCCACCCCCACCTCCCCACCTCCCCACCCCTCTACACAAATTGTTGTCCTTTTCATCCCTAATCATCATCTCACTGTGAGGAAGTGTGCCCTCTTTCCTGCTCAGTTTATTGATGACCAAACAGTGGAAGCCCTAAACCACTTTCGGGGCAAGACAGTGCTACTACGAACCCATGAAAGGTTGGGTGGTGGGGAGGGACTACTCGGGGGGGGCAAGACAATGCTCCTATGAACCCATGGGTAGGAGGGGGGGGTGTAGGAATGTTTGTTTGTGTCGTTTAATACAATAAGAATCTATGCTTTATGTGATGGTTGGGTGTTGTAGATGATAGTGGGGACAAGACAGTGCTAAGATGGAAGTGCCAATAAGGGTGGTTTTTGTTTTGTTATTTTTTTACCTGTTGATATAAGTGCTGATAGACCTTATGAGGTATAGTGGTGAATATAGTGCTATACTTCCTGGTCCTAAGATGATGATGAGAGAGAGAGAGAGAGAGAGAGAGAGAGAGAGAGAGAGAGGGGGGAAGTTCACTTGGCTGGTCTTTAAGAAGCTGACCAGTTCACACGCTACCTTCTCCTCCTCCTCCTTTAGCCATTTGCCTCCGTCGATTTACCAGTAATTGGGGATTAACGATTCTCAAAGGTTCCTACGTTAAGTTTTCCTCCTAACTGGTGATGTGAGAACGTATCTAACTGTCTCACTTAAGCTACCACACAAAGATGGATTCTCAAAGGTTCCTACGTTAAGTTTTCCTCCTAACTGGTGATGTGAGAACGTATCTAACTGTCTCACTTAAGCTACCACACAAAGATGGATTCTCAAAGGTTCCTACGTTAAGTTTTCCTCCTAACTGGTGATGTGAGAACGTATCTAACTGTCTCACTTAAGCTACCACACAAAGATGGATTCTCAAAGGTTCCTACGTTAAGTTTTCCTCCTAACTGGTGATGTGAGAACGTATCTAACTGACTCACTTAAGCTACCACACAAAGATGGATTCTCAAAGGTTCCTACGTTAAGTTTTCCTCCTAACTGGTGATGTAAGAACGTATCTAACTGACTCACTTAAGCTACCACACAAAGATGGATTCTCAAAGGTTCCTACGTTAAGTTTTCCTCCTAACTGGTGATGTGAGAACGTATCTAACTGACTCACTTAAGCTACCACACAAAGATGGATTCTCAAAGGTTCCTACGTTAAGTTTTCCTCCTAACTGGTGATGTGAGAACGTATCTAACTGACTCACTTAAGCTACCACACAAAGATGGATTCTCAAAGGTTCCTACGTTAAGTTTTCCTCCTAACTGGTGATGTGAGAACGTATCTAACTGACTCACTTAAGCTACCACACAAAGATGGATTCTCAAAGGTTCCTACGTTAAGTTTTCCTCCTAACTGGTGATGTGAGAACGTATCTAATTGACTCACTTAAGCTACCACACAAAGATGGATTCTCAAAGGTTCCTACGTTAAGTTTTCCTCCTAACTGGTGATGTGAGAACGTATCTAACTGTCTCACTTAAGCTACCACACAAAGATGGATTCTCAAAGGTTCCTACGTTTAGTTTTCCTCCTAACTGGTGATGTGAGAACGTATCTAACTGTCTCACTTAAGCTACCACACAAAGATGGATTCTCAAAGGTTCCTACGTTAAGTTTTCCTCCTAACTGGTGATGTGAGAACGTATCTAACTGTCTCACTTAAGCTACCACACCCCCACCACACACCCCCCCCACCCACATAACTCACCACACACCACGTCTTCACCTCTCACGATACACTAACTGCTAAACAACATTGATAAGAGGTAAAATTTATTAGTTTATTGAAGTGTAACAGAAACGAAAACTAAGCTTAAGGTAATAAATGTTTATGACTTTATTGTTGTGTTAGGTGAAGTAAATGTTATTGTTCATCTGTCAACAACAACAACAACAATAACAATAATAATAATAATAATAATAATAATAATAATAATAATAATAATAATAATAATAATAAAATAATAAATAACAATAACAATAACAATAATAATAATAATAATAATAATAATAATAATAATAATAATAATAATAATAATAATAATAATAATAATAATAATAATAATAATAATAATAATAATAATAATAATAATGTGAAGAGTCAATAAAACAAAAACGAAAATACATAAATTTGTGTCCCAACCAAGCCAAGCCAAGCCAAGCCAAGCCAAGCCAAACTATTCCTAACTTAACCTAACCCAACCCAGCAGCCTTAAGTTAGGGCATAAGACACAACACACCAGCGACTGTTGGTTCA